CATGGGGGCAACACTCATCTGCGGATTCATCCACGCCTGTGTTCTCGGCTGAAGGAGCTGCTGGGAGATAGGGCCTGGTGGAAGTGGGCCACTGGGACTGTGACCCAGCAGGCTGTGTCTCTGCCCCCACCCCTCCCTTCTCTCTCTGCTTCCTGGCTGCCGTGATGTGAGCCTCTCCCTGCGCCCAGGCCCTTCCGCCATCTTGTTTCTGCCATCTTGTTTCATTTCCGCCTGGGAGTCAGCAGACTATGGACTAAACCCTTGAGCCAAAATAATCCTCCTTTAAACCACAGGTATTGGGTATTGAGTCCCGAGGATGGACGTATGCCAAAGACGGCCCCCCATATGCCCACTAAGGGGTAAATGAATAAACAAAACGTAGCCCATCCATATCAAGGAGGATTAGTGGGCCTCAGAGAGGGACGAAGCTCTGGTACCTGCTAGAACACAGACAGGCCCTGAAAAGCGTCATACTCGGTGAAAGGGCCAGGCATGGAAGGCCACAGAGTACACGATTCCAGATGCCCAGAATAGGCAAATCTACACAGACGAAAAAAAGCAACCAACCAACCAACAAACAAAAAAAACAGAAGCGAGGTTGCCAGGAGCTGGGGGAGGGGATGGGGAAATCAGCCCTGAGGGGTGTGGAGATGCTTTGGGGGAATCACGAAAAAGCTCTAAAATTAACCGTGGTGATGGTTGCACAAGTCTGGCTGTACCTTGAAACCACCAAATTACACGCTTGAAGTCAAGGTTACTACAAAGAGACGTTAAACGGCCATAACAGCACAAGACCATGACAAACCCCTTGGCTTTCCTCAAGCTCCAGTTTTTTGCGGTTTTTTGTTTGTTTGGTTTTTTTTTTTTCTTCTTCAATCTCCTGTTTGGTTTTACTTTTTCTCTTTTTATCTCCTGTCAATCTAGCTCTCAACCCATTAAAGCCAACTTGTCCCTATTAGTCAAAGACAAAAGAGCAATTTACTGCCAGGACCTAGAAATTCCCCAGGAGGTTAGAAAAGGTGCCAGAGAGAGAGAGAGAGAGAGAGAGAGAGAGAGAGAGA